ACTCTTTAACCTATGACCAAAGTTCAGATATGGTGTCCTCCAGGGTGGGAGGCTGGGTGGAAATCTCTGTTTGCAGAGGGCATCCAGTATCTCCTCTGGGGGGCTGGGGAAAATTCTCTATTTGTAGAGGGTGCTCAGTCCTGTCTGGACTCTGATTTCAGCTGTGACCTGGCTGTCACTATGCTGGGAAAACCGCAACTACTTGCTGAAATATTATGAGATTTTTTACTTTTTTTTCTTTGTTGGTTTTTTAATCATAATTAAGGATTAAAGCCTAGGATATGATCATGATCTACATCCTTTTTCTCCTTATCTCCTCTACATGCACAACCCAGTGGCAACAAATCATCCAGCTCCTTCTTAATCTCTCATATCTCTAGGGCTTGGCTTTCTGCAGGCCAAGGAAGAATAACCTAAATTGGAGACTCAAACTTCACAGGTTCTGTGCTCGCATGAACTTCTACCTTCTGCTCCCTGGGCTACGTGGGAGATTGCCTTCCTAGGCAATCCTCACTGGGTTCAGGTGACAAGCTGGTCCATCCAAAGTCTGTGAGAAGAACAAGAACAGAGAATTTCTCTCTCACAGTCAAGGAAGCTGGCAACTTTGAAGGGTCCGGCTGTTAAGTAGCTCCTCATTCTCCTCTGGGGTTCATAGCCTTACTTTCCTCCATGCCCTCAGAATCTACCTTTTCTCTTCTGGATCTGTTTACTCTTGAGAGTTCTCAAAGTTCACCAACTCCTTTCTTTTCCAGACCACACTGATCTGACCTGGCCTTCCTTTCAACTCCTCACCTACACATTCTAGAGCCTTGTGTGGTTCTAGCTGGGCTCACCACTGACTGGACAGCCCAGCTCACACTTTAGCAGTAAAAAGCCTAGGAGGAGTTGACACCAGGTAGGGTTTTAGGTGGACAGACTTGGAACAATCACTCTCCAGAAACCTTGTCTTCACCTCCTACTCAGCAGCATCAACTCAATATCCATCAGATGAAATATAAACTGTAAGATCTGAAATTAGCAGGCCACCGCCCGCCGGGGGAACGCAGGC